CAAGGAAATAACTCTTTGGTGATCTCTTTCAAAAGATATTAGTATAGTGGGGTCTATCCTGGATGAGGCAAGGGATGTTGCTCCGATTGAAGTTAAAGCAGTGTCCCCACCAAGAGTTGATCCATCGAGAGGCATCACCATTGATCTAAATGATCCTACCGAAGAGTATTTTCTTGGAATGTATGACTGACTGGAAGAGATTAGCGTGAATAGTGTTTCCTAAATTCAGTCTGGACAATGAAGATGTCATACTCTACTTTTGGCTATGACATAAGGTATGAGGGATTTGTTAACCTTATTGTGATTTTCACATTTATGTTTAAATGTCTATATGTTGACTAATTGGCGAGTTGGCCAAGAGACCTCTCCTAGGTGTTTTGTCAGAGTCAATGATGATTGCTCCGAACAATGCGAGCAAAACCAAAAGTTGCAAGAACCTTCTCGTATTGAACAATCTTTGGGAGGTAACATGACCTTTAATTATAAGATGATCCCTCATTTTTGGTCAAATATAATATTCTTCTATTTGTAGAGATTCAAAGTGAAAAAGTGATAGAATATCTCAAATAGAGGCAGTTTTTACGGGATCTTTACAGGTTTGGTATTGGCTTATAGCTTTTTAGCTTCTGAGGGGGGCGTAACAATGCCTACCGAGGAAAGGTTGGTGCTTGTTGACCTGACTAAGGACCATTTAGATGTAAAAAGAATGAATTATAAGGAATCTTAAGGCAAGTTAGTGGAACGGTTGGCAATTGTAGAAGAAGACCTACATAATGCTCGAAAGTGCAGCGCCACAATTTGATTAGTCAATTCGAAAAATGGAATCTTCATACCAGTTCAGTGAGTTGTTTCGTTAGGACAATTCGACAAGTCAGCTTGATCGCTAATATAAGACAAATAGTTGATCAGAGAGTGAGTTTAGCGGGTCACTCCAACGAAAGTCGGTCTTACGGACAGTTGGGCTAAATCAAGGTCATAAGCCTTGTTGACTACTAACTTTGGCGCATGAAGATTGATTTTTGATATACACAAATGCTTTAACAATTCTAAACCTTTCAGCACCTTGAGATAAGGTGGAGGATAAGATTGAAATTATTTGAATTCTAATTGAGTTTAGTTGTAGCCCAAAACTCAAACAAATAAAATTTTAGTAGATCAAAATTAGATTAGGAATCCATCCAATTCTATTTGATTAGGAGCCAACTAAAATCATTGGGTTGATTTTTAGCTAGCTCATTTGATTTTAAACCAACAAGAAATTAATTAACTTCTTTCAAAAATACATATTGTTATCCAAATTTCATAAAAAAATATATAACTAAAGGGGCCATTTGGGATCAAATTTTATTTTCTGTTTTTTATTTTTGAAAATAAAAAATAGGAAAACTTAAAAATAATATCCGCTTATCTATTTTTTGTTTTATTTATGTTTTTCTTTAGGAGAACACTTTTGTTTTTAAAATATTAAAAATAGAAAAAATAGGTTTTTGACTGTTTTTAAAATATCAAAACAACCCTTCGCCAAGCCCGCCAGTGATGCCCGCCTGATGCCGGTCGCTACCTACCTTCGCTGCAGCCAGCCACAGGCCACTGCCAACCACTGCTGGCCCCTGCCTTGTCCACCATCGCTAATTACCGGGGTTCCCCCCCCGCCGTTGCAGCCCTCACTTATAGTCAACAATGTCCTCGCATATAGCCCGTCGTCGCCCATCTAACCTTTGCCAGCTCCTGCCTACAGCCGACCCGGCCCACCCCCCCCCGCCACCAGACCCTACCGGCTGTTGTTGCCACCCGCCCGTCCCCCTACTTGCCACTGTCCGTCGACCGTCCGTCCACAGGTAATGCTTCATGTTAGGTGAAGCAATGAAAATGTTGTATGCTCCATGGGCGGCAGAGTTTAATACAGGAGCGCACGTAAACCAAACCCATTTTATTAAAAGCATAATTTTTCTTTAAAAAAAAAAAACCGACTTAAAGAAGTTTTATATTTTTTGTTTTTAAAAACATATAAATCAGAACTCTTATCAAACATTTTTTTCTAAAAATAGAAAACATAATACATAACAAAAACAAAATAGACTTAAAAATATAGAAAGTGATCCTAAACAGACCCTTAAATCTTAAGATTTCACTTTAACAAAAACTATAAAAAAATTTAAGAGAAATTTACATACATACCACTATATTCTTATGAATTAATATATGTGACAACTTAAACTTCAATTTCACATATATGCCACCTTTTAGGTGTGCTTCACTTTTTAAAAGCAAGAAAATTGGTATTTTTAATGTGATATGAAACTTTAGGTGGTATAAATGTAAAAAATAAAGTCAATGTCTTAGATATGTAAATACAAATACATATGAATTGTGTGGTATGTATGTAAATACCCCAAATTTAAAAAAATGACATGATAAAATCACATCATTACATAAGTTCTCATCACCACTCAAGGTCAATTAGTCATTTCCCAGTTAACAACATAATATTCTTGTAATTGTGCAACACCAATCTTCACATAATTATCAATTTAACCTTTTACCCCTCTGCCATGATATCTCGAAGCCTTTAAAACATCAATCTTAAAAAATATTACATTCACACAAGAAATAACTAGTAAAAATATTAATATATTTGCTTTAAAATATTAAGATATTAATGTCTCAATGTTTGATAAGGTGGGTCTCAGAAATGATCGGTTGACTGACGCAATCGACCTGTTTTATAGCAAGAGAAAAGACGTCTTGGGAACTATTGTCTCGTTAATTACTTGTAGGGAAACCGACAAACAATTCACAAATATGAAAGATTTTTTAGTTGTTGACTATCCGCCGGCTTACAACACCATCTTCGGTCAGCCCCTGCTCAACAACTTCAAAACCGTTACCTCGATGTACCACGTAGCGTAGATGTTTTGGGGCAACAAAGAGGTGATCACCGTCAGAGGTAACCTGGAGCAATCCAACACTTGCTACGTCATGACGGTCATAAGTGTGGAGCAAGAGCCGCGCGAGTCAGTAATCTATGTGAGGGAGGTCTCAAAACCAGCAAATCCGCCACCAAGGACCCAGCAACAAAAGGCAACCGATATAATTCTTCTTAATCAATGAACTCTTGATGTAGGGTCAAGGGATGAGCGGATCAAGACCCTCTAGGACCACCATGATGTCTATCTAGTCTGCAGCCGAGATGCTAAGGATTTTGTTTTGATCAATGCTGCCAGCCACCAATGCTGCCAGCCACCAAAAAAAAAAATTTATATTTACAAATCAAGCCTCCAATGTGATTTTTTGAACTATTGAATCAATTAATTTATGTGTGTCACGATCAAATCATTGAGAATTTGATACGAATGAAAAATATTGGTTGAGGTTTTTATCATAAATATTGTTATTTGAGTGAGAATTTGAAAAAAAAAATGAATGAAAGATAGTGCTTGATTTTTTAACAGCAATATTTCGGGCGCTCTGTACATAATTGTTCCTATTATTAAAATCAAAGAAAATAAGAATAAATCAACTTCAATTTATGTTTTCCATTTAATATCAAACAACCCAAATAAGCCACAGACAATCTCCTAATACACCCAAAACCCCTACTAATTGAAAATTTAAAAAGAAACGAAGCTATTCCACCCCAAGCAATGGCTTTATACTGTATTTGGTGCAATCAAAAGGCCCAACGTTCTGAGCCTTCCTCTTAACCTGCAAAAAGATGGCTTTTATTAATCTGATAACGGAAGATGAACTCAGTCTTAAGCAGAAACAAATCAAAGAATGGATCCAAAATGTAATCCAGGGATCAACAAATGATTTGTAAGAACTTTAAATGCAAAATTCATCGGATTAAATGAGTTAAAAATAAAAGGAAGATTTACATACATACCACTCAATTCCTATGCATTTGCAAATCTAACACTGAAACTTCAGTTTTTACATACATACCGATTTACCTAAACATGAAAAGGTCTATTTCAATTTTCAAAAATAAAAATGATAATATGATTGATGTTATACGGAATACATGGACATTATTTCAATATCTCAATTTTCAAAAAGGTCTCTTACTTGAACATACTCCACATCAACATGCAGTAACATATTAAACGTCAATACCATAGAAAGCCAGTCTTAAACAATATTGACCGCCCGTCATCCGTTCCCATCATTCCATGCCCCTCAATCTGTTTGCTCAATTGAAAATTAGAGGGAGATTTACATCCATACATGCCACCTTACCTGTGCATAAAAATGTATATAAGTTAAAATAGTGAGATTTTTAATGTTATATTAAAGTTTTGGGTGGTATAAATGACAAAAATAAAGTTTGTGTTAGCGGCATGCATGTAAATGCTCCCCATCATCATTTGTTTCTTTCCTTCATCTCCCCAACTTTGCCCTTCGGAACAAATCTTAAAGCATATACCCAAATAACTTCATGATTAATGTACTGAAAGGACTTCCACTTCCGGGAGCAAAGTCAAGAGTAAAACAAAGATGTTTAGACTCAATGTTCAATCTATAAAAGACATTTATTAAATTGGGCTCAAATCAATGTATATATATATATATATTTTTATAATTGCTTTCTATTCCAAGTCATCTTAATCACAGCCATCAACTCAAATACAACCAAACCATCACATTGGCATTGACCATTGAAAGGAACAACAATGCATCTTCTAAAGCACAAAAGAAATTGGATTTAAAATTTTCAATTGAAAACAAACCCAAATACATTCAACTTTGAATGCCCAGCCAAAGAGAGAATTTTACAGCCTAAAACTATATAACTTAGTGGGATAGAAACTGGCGAACAAAAAATGTAGATGAAAATACCAAGCCTATATACAGAGAAGAGGAGGAAAAAGAAGCTTGGTTTACATCTCATTTTATCCAGAAATAAGGTTTTGAGTTGACATTAACCAACACAAAAAAAAGAATAAATCGGAAGCAAAGTTCAGCTGGACGATCTTCCATTGGCATCATATGATTTTTTGTTCTGTTTGCGGCAACAATTCCTACAAAGAAGACTTTAATCAATGTTGAAGGATTCTAATGTAAAAAATAATTCTAACATTACAAATAAAACGAAAGAAATAAGAAGCATGAAACACAATTTAAATAAATTGAATTACCCCAAAATAAATTTTTATAAATAATATCTTATATATATAAATAAATATATTTGAAAAAAATGCTAGATTAAATTTTAAAATACAGAAGTTTTTTTTTTTTTTGTACTCATTAATTTTTAGCTAGTTAGATTGGAATGAGCTAGCTTATTTGATTTCCGAGCTATAGCATATGCAATTAGCTTTGTACGACCCAATTTGTTTCGATTTCAAGCTAGATTGAGCTCGATACAATTTAAGCTGAATTGACTTGAAATCAATTCAATGAGCCAAACACCGAGCTCAAGTCATATTCAAAACCTTCGAGCCGAATTTAAGCCAACCACAGATTGGTTAGAAATTGGATTGTTCAACATCCGGATAATAGCCAAGTTTGATAGGTATAATGCTTTTGATTTACTTATCAAATATGAAAGATATGGGCAAGGACAAACTTATAGAGTTAAAGATGAATGAATGTTTGAAATAGAGAAATGCCAAGACTACAAAAAGAAATTGAAAGTTAATTAACAAAACTAATATTATACCAGTTATGATGCACCCATCCCAATGTTAGGAAACAAATATTACAATAGTAACCAAATTGAATGAGCAAGAATGGGAAAGTTAAGAAGATTGTCTGATGAAATTAGAAAAGTTTGGGAAATAAAAATGTTGAAAAGACATGATTGATATTTAACGAAGATACTATAACTCCAGTGGTTATGCATGTACAACAGCGCGCAGAAAAAGCCCAATCAAGTTAGGGATAGTAAAAATAAGAAAAAAAAGGTGAGGAAGAAGGGTTAACATATCTCGGAGCAAAAAAACAAGATTAACGGTTCTATTTTTAATTATGACACGATTTAATGCGTAATATGCAAAAACAGATGTTCACGGGGTGGAGACTGCAAGAAAGAATTTGATAAAGTTTCTGTACGTGAGACCTTTAGCATTTGTTTGAGATTTTACGCGCAGAAGATTACTATTATCCCACACTACCCTTAAAAGTAAGAGGCTTGAACCCTAGACATTTTGTAAACCATGTCAATATATCCAGATTATGTTTAAAAACCATCCATTCAATCATAATCCAACACATTGAACTTTCAAGTCTTCTTGAAACGTGCAAGGTTTTCATGAAATAAATTAAATTCGATCATGAAGAGATTCACCTGAATTACAAGCATCTAAGGTGGACGATCCCAGATTTATCCAGAGAGATCTCCATTATCAAACTATAAAACAAAGGGAGATATTTAAGATTGTCAGTCCAAAGAAAAGAATTAACATCACGGAATAACAGATGCAATGGAATGAAAACAGAGTAGTAGGTGCAAGAAATTCATTTCTGATAAACTAATTGTTAAAACGTGTATTTAATCATAGGCACATAAAGTCATTTAAATGAATAAGCTAGGGAGAACAAAGGCCTGGAGGACCACAAAAACATCAACTTCTAAATTCGATGCTAGTTATTTTCCTGTCAAAGAACAGCTGATTATCTAAGCTACCCTGAAAAATATAATAATAAAGAAAAACACATCACTCTATTTGCTAAAAAAAAATGAATTTCCATCTTCTGAATATCTCGCGCTGATGGGTAAATAAACATTTTAATAGGAAGTATGATACCAAGCAATAATCACACCCAACTTTAACCTTCAACTTGGCCTAAAATAATATGACAGCAACTTAATCCAGAACGTAAAAAATAATATCAACAATTACACTCCAAAATTAAATCCAAACTTGTAAATTAATTCGATAAATATATGTGGTCAAAGAAAAAAAAAACTATAATAATAATAATACCCTAATATGTGGTCATCAATTGAACTCTTAATGATAAAAATTATTATGCTGCTGCCATTATTGATTTTTGAAAGAATTCAAACCACACAAAATGAAACTTGATTAAATAGATTACAAAATATAAATTTTACGATGAAATTAATTAATAAGTCAATTGTGGTAGTTGACTTGGTTCAAAATAAATATAATTGTGTGGGGGTTATCTAATCCCCACGGGTATGCATCAGATAAATACCGCTTTTGGTAACATATTTAATCAATAATTTCTTCAAACAAACATGTAATACATAACTTTAATACATTGATTTAAACTGAATATTTTGATTTTGAAGCTCAAATTAATGTGATAAGCTAATACAAAACCTATCTGATAGTATTTTAAATGTCAAACTTAAATGATTTTTTGAAAAAAACATATAATTATCATATCAAGTTCGCTCGGATCAGATACCCCATCAATAATGAATAAGTGATCCATTATTTTGTTCCCTGCTCCCAATCAAGTGCAAGGCTTCATCTCCGAGAAAGTGAGCACTAATTTAAATGTGGCGTCAATTACTGTAAAGGCATGGTTTGCCAAATATTATCACTAAATAAACCCTTTAAGCATAATTATGAATAACAAAGAAAAGGGCATAGAAGAAAATCAAATAAGTCCTCACATAATGCAACTTGACTTGAAAATTTACTTGTACGCGTATAGGAAGGGATGGTGTAATTTTTTTATCTTCACGTCTTCAAAAAGCTTTATCTTAGCCCTACACGTGGCAAGACAATTACATCAGAATGAAAAGCATCCAAAGGTTCACAAGAACCACTCGCTGGTCATCAAGTGTTTCTCCTCGTTCTTGGGAGGGTCCTTCCCATTCTCAAAAATCTCTTCGCAAAATATTCTCTCACAACCATGAGGGTTGCTCCCCATTTGCATAGTTCTCTCAACATCTGCACAATCTACGTAGGTCTTCAAGAACATCCAATCCAGCTACTCGTTGAATTGCACGATAATTCCAATGATAGTCAATGAATTAAAGATAGCATTAAATGCACATTAGTGTGTTGGGTTCCTCATAATTGTCGTATGATGATTGGAATTCAAGAAACAAATATCATTGTTACAGATCCACCATAAATTGCAATAATTAATATTGTCCCCACATCTCATTCAATCCAACCACGCCCTATTCCATCATTGGAAACTCGAAAATTCTAGATAATGATCATGTCACCAAAACTGTGGCAACCATAGCATAGGTTAGATTTATTGTCAAGTTCTTCTCCAATAAATTACTATGGAGGAAATACGACAAGTGGGTGGGACACCAAAGGATTTGCAATAATCTTGAATCCACACTTATAAACATTGAACTTAATAGCCATACCACTGCCACTTTCATTTTATGGTTTTTACTTCATTTTCTTTTATACCACTGCCACTTTCATTGCTAAAAGATGAATAGATGGGAAAAGATATATGAATGCCATATTACTCACATTTGTAGAAGAAATGGGACGCAATAAGGATTTCATAAATCCATAGCCTCTTCCACTCATCTTCTTTTATTACTTCTCTCAAAAATATCAACACCGCATAAAAGAAAATATATACATATCTAATGCCTAATTAACACCTCGATATTTATGAATATCAAGGTGTTAATTAGGTATGAGATATGTATATATTTCATATGGCCTTGATTAATTTAAGTCATAATAGGTTCTTCTCGACTCCCTCGAATGTCAATGGAAATCATTTATTGCCATATCGGGCAAAGCCACTTTTCACTATTAAAAGATGCATATATGGGAAAAGATGTATGAATGTCAAATTACTGACTTTGTAGAATAACATCCTCATCAAGGGATGAAACACTAAAAGAATTTCATTAGAAATAAATTCTTAATCTATAGCCTCTTCCACCCATACTCTTTTATGACTCTCTCAATAATCTCAACATCCCATAATAGAAATAGATACATATATTGTGCCTAATTAACATCTCTACATATAATCTAATCATATATATAATTTAAGGAGATTGTATGATTGAATGTGCACAAGAGTCTTAACCCATGTTCAATTACCCTCTCCCATAATTTTAAAGTATGACACATCAACTTAATTCCTCTATAATTTGCACACTCTTGTGCAACCCCTTTATTCTTAAAAATGGGGACCAAAATACTCTTCCTCCACTCCTCAGGCATCTTTTTAGTTTTTAAAATAATATTAAAGAGTTTAGTAAGCCAAGAAACTACCAAATCTCCCAAATATTTCCACACTTCAATTGGGATATCATCAGGTCCTACAGACTTTCCACCTTTGGTTTTCTTTAAAGTCTCCTCAACCTCTTTTTTGCTAATGCGACGGTAAAAATGAAACGTTTTATTATTATTCATGATATTAAAATCACTAAGTTCGATCGTATTTTCAGAAACTTCATTAAAAAGTTTATCAAAGTAACTCACCCACCTATGTTGAATATCTTTATTTTTGTCTAAGAAAATTACTTTTTGATTTTCATCTTCAATACACTTTACGTGAGTTAAATCTTTACTTTTCTTTTCACTTTATTTGGCTAGTTTATAGATATATTTTTCACCCTCCTTAGTTAATGTTGATTATCCTTCTCAATATATTATAAAGATCATTAAAAGCAGAATTTTTTTCATCCCAGATTGTTCTTTTAGACTCCCTGCGAGCCGTTTGATATTTTCTCCAGTTCTCTAAGCTTTTACATTTAAACCAATTTTTATAACATAACTTCTTATATTTTATATTTTC